GGTGTCGGCAAGGCGGACGGGTCATGGCATGACAGGACGGCCCCTCTAGCGTCAGGTGCACCTGAAGGCAGCACCCTCGCCAACGGCCCTGGGCGAGGCGTCAGGACAGAGGATGTTGAAAGGCCGTCGAGGCTGGCGTCGATGCGGTCGGCAGTGCTGGTGGCGATGCTGAGGTCGATGCAAGGACGAGCATGACGACGGCCGAGATGGTGGCCCGTTTGGGGCGGGCCCGGCCCGCCGTGCCCTTGAAGCCGCAGGCGGAGCCGAGGACGCCGAAGAACGCGTAGCCGACCTTGACGGCCCTTGTGGGGCGGGCTGGGCCCGCCGTGCCGGCGGAGTCGACGATGTGCTTGACGACGCTCCTGGTGCCCTTGCCGATGGTACGCAAGACCGTACCGACGGTGCCGAGAGCGATGCCGAAGGTGGAGCCGAGGCCGTACCCGAAGTTCAGCAAGATAATGCCGATGAAGTTGAGAGCGGTGCCTGCGGTGCCGCGGGAGCGCTCTCGGGGGGAGGTTGGGGGCCGACTGCTTGTCACGCACGGCGCGACGACGGCAGGCGTGGGAACAGCCCGACCGCACTCAGCACCGTCACCCTCAGCAGTCGGGAGCCCGACCCCCCCCTGGATACCTGGCCGTACCGAGGTGAGCAGGTGCTGGACGGAGTCGTCTGTGTTGGCGTCGGTGCCTGGTAGGTGAGCGCGGAGGTCGGCTCGGTAGGCGCGCAGCTCGGCGCGCAGGTGGAACACGTCGTGCCCGAGTATACGTAGATCTTCGTGAAGATCCGCACGCGGCACGTGTGGGGCGTGTCCAGGTGGCACTGGGAGGTCGCGCCCGTGCAGGACGGGCACGCGGAAGACAAGGTCCTGGTGCCTATGTACAGTAACATGGCCAGGCAGCTCAGGTAGCACAGCATGGTGAGACGTGAAAGTGCGGTGGCGGCCTGGCGCAGACAGGGGGGCCATGGCGGCGGTCGCACTGAGGAAGTGAGGAGACGCAAAACACTACCGCGCTGCTGGCGCGGTTCCGGTCTCGCGAGGCCTGGAGTCGGGACTCCAGAGCGGGGCGCTTCGCGTCGCGGCTACGCTATGAGTGCAGGGCACTCTCGAGCCGAGACTAGAGAGAGAGAGAGAGAGAGAGAGAGAGAGAGAGAGAGAGAGAGAGAGAGAGAGAGAGGCAGAGAGGCAGAGACAGAGACAGAGACAGAGAGATGGGACAAACATCTTTCTCATTCTGAAGCCGAAGAGACACACTGCACACTCCCCACGTGCATATATGATCGCACTGGCAGCCCTCTGCATGGACTGCCCGCGGCGCAACTCGCGCGAATCGAAAGACCCAGGGCCCCCGAATAGCTCCCCGCGTGCTGCAGCGCAGCACCTATCACACGGGTTTCGAGATCATGTCCCCTGTGGCCTGCCACAAATCGCGACCCCGCATCCAGTAGGCCCACTGGGCGGACTCACCCGATGGCGCGGCATGTCAGACCCGGCCGCGGCCGCCACGCCCTCCAAACAACCGCGCAGGTGCCGCCAGGCGCGGCCCCTGGCGGCCAGCCGTAGCGTCTCCCGGGCGGCGGCGGCCTCCTTGCCGGACACAAGCCGACAGCTGGCGCACATCGCCGCGGTTTGCTAGCGCGGCCTGTCTGCTCCTCTCGGAGGGCTACAGATTGCGCGGCCGCGCAGGCAACCGCGCGCAATTCGCGCCAGGTCGGTTGCATCCCCTCTCCTCCAGGCGTTTCTGGTAGGCTTCTGTAGCCGGCCGCTGCTTGAGCGGGTTCCTGGCGCGGGCTGCCACCTGGGAGCTTGTGCAGAAAAATGAAAACACTGAGCGCCTGAAGCGCTCACTGTTTTCATTTTTATGCACAAGCCCCAGAGCCTGCTGGTGGGCCGTGCTCGCGTTGAGCGCCTTTAGGCGCGGCCGGCGCAAGCCAAGCCGACCGTGGCGCTCGGAGGCACACACTTTGCAGTGGTGCCCCCCCTTGTGCGCCTGCGCCCCCGGCTGGGCAGGCGTCCGCGAGGCGCGGCAGGCATAGCACCACGTGGAAGGCCGCCCCATCCCTGGGCGACCCACGCGCGCTTGAAGCCAAAGGCTCTGCAACGCATGCTCAACCAATCAACCATCCAGCCAACCCTAAACTCAGCAGGCTCAACAAAGTGCGCATGGGGATATTCCTCCTCCTCCTCCTCTGCTATGTCCTTCCTCCTCCTCCTCCTCTTCCTCCTCCTTCTCCTCTGCTATGTCCTCCTCCTCCTCCTCCTCCTCTCTCCTCCTCCATCCTCCTCCTCCTCCTCATCATCCTCCTCCTCCTCCTCCTCCTCCTCCTCCTCCTCCTCCTCCTCCTCCTCCTCCTCCTCCTCCTCCTCCTCCTCCTCCTCCTCCTCCTCCTCCTCATCATCATCATCATCATCATCATCATCATCATCATCATCCTCATCGTCGACCCGCCCATGGGTTGGACATGCGGCGCGCCAAGCGCCCAACCCATGGGCGGCGCCACGGGAAGAGAACGCCCACGAAACGAATGCCCGATCTCCAGCCCGCCCACTGATTGGACTAGTTCGACTGATCGTCGACCCTCCCATGGGTTGAACACGCGGCGCGCCGAGCGCCCGACCCATGGGCGGCGCCCCAGTGTCGCAACGCTTGAAACGAATGCCAGATTTTCAGCTCGCTCATGGGTTGAAACAGTTCGCCCTGTCGTCGACCCGCCCATGGGTTGGACGCGCGGCGCGCCGAGATCCGCCCAACAATGGAAAACAATAAGAAAACCTTACAATGGAAGACAATAAGAAAACCTTGCAATTGAAAACAATCAGGAAACCTTACAATGGAAAACAATAAGAATCTGGGTACACGAAACGCTGGCAAGGATTCTTTAATATATATATATATATGCATATATGTATATATATATATGTATATATAAGAAAGAGGGGGGAAAAAAAAATAAAATAAATAAAAAAAAAAAAAAAAAAAAAAAAAAAAAAAAAAAAAAAAAAAAAAAAAAAAAAAAAAAAAAAAAAAAAAAAAAAAAAACTGGCAGGGACTGAGAAAAAATCAAAGGTTTCGGGCGGAACTGGACGGGAAATGAAATCCATACCGGGCCCCCTCCGCCGAGATCCGCCCGAAACCTTTGATTTTTGGTTTTTTCAGTCCCTGCCAGCGTTTGACTTTTTTTTTGTTTTGGTTTTTCAGTCCCTGACAGCGCTTCGTGTACTCAAGACGTTTTCTTATTGTGTCCTATTGTAAGGTTGTCGTATTGTTTTCCAGTGTAAGCTTTTCTTATTGTTGTTCTATGTAAGGTTTTCTTGTTTGTTTTCCATTGTAAGGTTTTCTTATTGTTTTCCAGTGTAAGGTTTTCTTATTGTTTTCCATTGTAAGGTTTTCTGATTGTTTTCCATTGTAAGGTTGTCTTATTGTTTTCCAGTGTAAGGTTTCTCCCATTGTTTTCCATTGTTGGGCGGATCTCGGCGGAGGGCCCGAAACCTTTGATTTTTGGTTTTGTTCAGTCCCTGCCAGCGTTTTTTGGGTTTGTTTGGGTTTCTTGGGGTTGTTTCAGTCCCTGCCAGCGTTTCGTGTACCCAAGACGTTTTCTTATTGGTTTCCATTGTAGGGTTTATTTTGTATTGTTTTCCAGTGTAAGGTTTTCTTACTGGTTTCCAGTGTAAGGTTTCTGATTGTTTTCCAGTGAAAGGTTTTCTGATTGTTTTCCATGGTAAGGTTGTCTTATTGTTTCCATTGTAATATTCCTTATCGTTATTTGATTGTACTCATTCTTAATATTCTTGATTGTATGGATTTCTTATTGTTTTTGATTGTACGGTTTTCCTACTGTTTTTGCAAACGTTCTTGCAATAGCATATGATCAACATCTACATCAACATATGAACGAACTTCTTCGTTTAAAGCCCTCGGGCTTGCAGTTGTGAAGATGGGGTCCCCGTGGGGGGGGGCTACCATACATATATATATATACACACACATATGCATACATGCATACATACATACATGCATGTATGCATGCATGCATACGCACGTACATACACACACACATACATACATACACACATACATACATACATGCATGCATGCATGCATACATACATACATACGTACGTACATGCATACGTACATACAGACAGACAGACAGACAGACAGACAGACAGACAGACAGACAGACAGACAGACAGACAGACAGACATACACACAAACATGCACCCGTACATACATACATGCATGCATACAAACATATATACATACATACAGACACGCGGATAGACATACATACGCACATACATACATGCATGCATGCATGCATGCATGCATATGTACATGCACGCATGCATTCCTACACACATGCATACATACATACATACATACCTACCTACCTACCTACCTACCTACCTACATACATACATACATACATACATGCATACATGCATGCATACATACATACATACATGAAGACAAACAAACAAACATATATACATACATACGCACACATACATACATGCATACATGCGTACATGCATGCATGCATACATACATACGTGCATACGCCCATACACGCATACGTATAGACATGTACGCAGGCATGCATATAGACAGACAGAGCTATCTACATACCTGACTATCTATCGACGTATCTACGTGCAGAGAGACATGCTGCATGCATGCATACATACATACATACACATATACATACTTACACACGTATACATACATGCATGCATGAATGCATACATGCATGCATGCATACATACGTACATGCACACAGACAGACAGACAGACAGACATGCATACGTACATACCTGTATACACACAGACATGCATACAAACATCCGTGCATGCATTAATACATGCATAGGTGCATACATATATACATAATACGTGCGTACATACATATATACATACATACGTGCATGCATGCATGCATGCATGCACGCATACAGACCGAACGAGAAATATGGAGAAGTCGTGGCACCAGCAGCCTCGATCCTCCGCGCTATATATGCAGGATTCCCAGCTCTGCGCCGCCTCTGGCTCGTTCTGCACCGACACGCCCCAGATCGGCACGTCGAGCTTGGCCACCTCCTTCATTGTTTATAACCATCATGTGGTGTGAGATCCTCGCTTCGACAAGAGATCCTCGCGTCCACTCCTCTCCTCTCCTCCTGCTCCTCTTCCTCCTCCTCCTCCTCGTCCTCCTCATCCTCATCTTCCTCTTCTTCCTCCTCCTCCTCCTCCTCCTCCTCCCGTGACCCCCCTCATTTTGGCACACCCGTCACGCGCTTCGTGGCCCCATAGGGAGCTACACCCAAGGCCTCAACGGCTGCGCCCGCATGCCGGCACCCCCTCATGTTGGCACACCCCTCACACGCATCGTGGCCCCATAGGGAGTCCCACCTCAGGCCCCAGTGGTTGCGCACGCATGCCGCCACCCCCTTCAATTTGGTACACTCCTCACCCGTTTCGTGGCCCCATAGGGAGCGACACCTAAGGCCTAAGTGGCTGCGCCCACATGCCGCCACCCCGTCAGTTTGGCACACCCGACACACGCGTCGCGGCCCCATCGGGAGTTACATCTAGGGTCCCAGCGGCTGCGCCCACATGCCGCCACCCGCTCATTTTGGTACACCCCTCACACGCTCCGTGGCACCGTAGGGAGCTACATCTAAGGCCTGAGTGGTGGCTGCGCCCGCATGCCACCACCCATCCATTTTGGCACACCCCTCACACGCGTCGTGGCCACATAGGGAGCTACACCTCAGGCCCCAGTGGCTGCGCCCACATGCCGCCACCCCGTCAGTTTGGCACACCCGTCACACGCGTCGTGGCCCCATAGGGAGCTACACCTAAGGCCTCAGTGGCTGCGCCCGCATGCCGCCACCCCCTCATTTTGGTACACCCCTCACACGCTCCGTGGCACCATAGGGAGCTACACCTAAGGCCACAGTGGCTGCGCCCACATGCCGCCACCCCGTCAGTTTGGCACACCCCTCACACGCTTCGTGGCCCCATGGGGAGCTCCACCTCAGGCCCCAGTGGCTGCGCCCGCATGCCGCCACCCCTCCATTTACCTAGCCATCATGTGGTGTTGGGACCTTGTTTTAAAGAAACAGCGCCCCGCGTCTCACCTCCTCACTCCTCCTTCCCCCTCCTCCCTCCTCCCATCGGGCCACTGCTCTCCGCATGTCCAGGTCGGCACACACCCCGCACGGATTGTGGCTCCATAGAGAGCTCAACCGATGGTCTCAGTGGCGGTGTTCGCATGAACCTCCCCCACCCAGTACAGCGCTTCGTAGCCCCTATAGGGAACTCCACCTAAGACCCCAATGGCGGTGTTCACATGCGTCTCCCCCACTCAGTAGAGCGCTTCGTGGCCCCAGTGGCTCCACCGAAGGCCTCAGTGGCTGTGTTCGCATGCGTTTCCCCCCCGGAGTACACCGTGCCCTGGCCCCAAAAGGAGCTCCACCGAAGGCCCCAGTGGCGGTGTTCGCATGCGTTTCTCCCACTCAGTACATCGTTTCGTTGCCCCATGGGGGGCTCCACCGAAGGCCCGAGTGGCGGTGTTCGCATGCGTCCCCCCCCTCCCAGTACAACGCTTCGTGGCCCCACGGGGAGCTCCACCGAAGGCCCCAGTGGCGGTGTTCTCATACGCTTCCCCCACCCAGTGCCACGCTTCGTGGCCCCATAGGGAAGCTCCACCGAAGGCCCCAGTGGCGGAGTTCGAATGCGTTTCCCCCACCCAGTCCAACGTTTCGTGGTCCCACAGGGAGCTCCACCGAATGCCCCAGTGGCGGTGTTCGCATGCGCCCCCCCCACCAAGTACATCGTTTCGTTGCCCCATGGGGAGCTCCACCGAAGGCCCCAGTGGCGGTGTTCGCATGCGCCTTCCCCGCCCAGTACATCGTTTCGTGGCCCCATGGGGAGCTCCACCGAAGGCCCCAGTGGCGGTGTTCGCATGCGTTTCTCCCACTCAGTACATCGTTTCGTTGCCCCATGGGGGGCTCCACCGAAGGCCCCAGTGGCGGTGTTTGCATTATTCGCATGGGGTCTCCCCCATCCAGTACAACGCTTCGTGGCCCCATGGGGAGCTCCACCGAAGGCCCCAGTGGCGGTGTTCTCATGTGTTTCCCCCACCCAGTGCAACGTTTCGTGGCCCCAGAGGGAGTTCCACCGCAGGCCCCAGTGGCGGTGTTCGCATGCGTCTCCCCCATGCAGTACAGGGCTTTGTGGCTCCATAGGAAGTTCCGCCGAAAGCCCCACTGGCAGTGCCCACATGGCGGCTCCACCCCATATCGGCTCATCTGTCGCATGCTTCATGGCCCCATGAGGAGATGCCCCGAAGGCAACTGCACAAGATCGGGTCCTTCGCCAGGATGAGTTGGGTTGCTGTCCTGGGGAGCGAACACGGTGAGGCCTGGTCGCGGGGGCAGGGTGAATCGGCAGCGCATGTGCTGCTGCGCCCTCGCCGCCACGCTGCGCCGTCGGGCACCAGGAGCGCACCTGCACCAGATGCCGGCATATGTGCACTCCGTACGTGCTGCAGCCTCAGCCAGGGAGAGACGAAGAAGAGCCAGTGCAGCGCCTTCCCCTGCGCCCTCCCCGCTCCAGATGGCGTTCAGTGGACAGGCGAGCACGCCTCTTGAGTTCCTTATGGCGACGTTCAGTGGACAGGCAAGCTGCCCTTTGGAGTTCCTCATGATTCCTCGATCGTCCTCACCACCCGCTCCTCAATCCGGCTCTGCTCATATCTTCGCTCTCCACCCTTTGAACACCCAGCGGAGGAGAAGAAGGAGGAGGAATAGGGGGAGAGGAAAACAATGAGCAGGAGGAAGGAGGAAATGTTTGACACAGCGCAATAACATGCTGGCAACGCATTCCTGAAATCACAGAACTGATCACATGAATTGCCGTGCGCACGCATGGAATTGAAGCCCCCAGCCACCTCGACAGGCTGTCCTGCGAGCGATGGCTAGAAGGCAAAATAAAAAGCGGAGAATGGGAGCGAGGAGAACGGAGAAGGAGGAGAAGGGAGGAGCAGGAGAACACCGGAGAAGAGAGGAGGAAGAGGAGGAGGAGGAGGAGGAAGAGCTGGAGGAGGCGGAGGATGAACAGGAGGCGGGAGGCGGGGGGAAAAGAAGAAGAAGGAAGTGGGAGCAAGAGAAGGAACGAGGAGACAGGAGTAGGATGGGATGGAGGAGGTGGACGAGGAGGAGGCGGTGGAGGGAAAGCGAAGGAGCGAGAGGGGCTCGACGACGACGACGACGAAGGGGTGGCTCCTCGATAAACCTCACGAAGTGGAGGGCCCACGCGTCACGGCAGTCGGGGAGCAGGCTGCCGTCGCCGTTGAAGGCCGGCTTGGTCTTCATCCAGGGGGGCGGGCTCCATGGACTGGCGAGGAGCGTCAGCGGCGCTCCTGGGAGGAGGGCAGGAGCCATCAGCAGCCAAACGGGGACGCGCGGGCCACACGCGCGTGCATGCCGAAGGCACTCGTGATCGCCGCGGGCCCGCCAGCTCCCCGCTGCATACTACCACAGGGGCCACGCGCGCGCGACCCTGCGCGCGCGCGCGCCGAAGTCTTTCCCAAACCGCTGGTTTCCCACACGTTCCAAGGCAGAGTTCGCCGCATGGGCGCGGAATTGGAATCGAATCCCAGCAGCCCTCTGGGCGTAGGCGGTTGAACGAACTCTGTCTTCTCTCTGCCAAAGCTCCATCTTTCCCCTGCTCGGGGGACGGGTTCATCACTGCTTCTTATGAATGTACACCCCCTCCCCCACCCGGCCGGTGGCCAACCAGGAACCGTGCCGACTTCATGCGGGCCCGCCCCCCACCATCCCTGTCAAAAACAACAATGCAAACATCACTTTGCCTCCACATGTGGAGCATGCGCGGCTTACCCGATGCGGCCCCCCCCCACCATCCATGTCAAAAAAGAATGCAAAGTACACTGTGGGGCAAAGTATTGAGTCATGTTCGTGAGGCCCGCGAACACTTTGTATTGTTTTTTAACAAAGACGGCGGGGGTGCCAGCATATTCCCTGCTGCGCGCATGGCTACAATCCCTAACAAAAATACAACATATTGATGGCCCCTAGAGGCCTCCCAGCCCCCCTCCCCCCATCGAGCCTCAAGAGGACCCCAACAAGGCCCCAAGAGAGCCCCAAGATGGCCTCACGAGTCCCCAGGCTCCGCGAGGACCCCAGGAGAGCCCCAAGATGGCTCCAAGAGCCCTCCGAGAAAATGTTTCCAGGGCGGTTGTTACACTGCAATCTTCTACGTACACTTTTCTGATCAAGGCAACTCGGCTGGCGATCTTCTTTTGGATGGGCTGATGGGGATACGTTTTGATCGCAAGCGCACCGGGAGACGCCGGACGCAGGGAGGCGACAAAAGGACATCGGAGGGAGGAACAAAGGAGGCGAGCCTCGCTGCCGCTCGGAACAGGGGGAGGGAAACAGGCGACGAGAGGACAGCGGAGGAACAACTAACAGGAGGCGGGCCTCGCTGCCGCTCAGGAGAGGGCGCCGTCGACTGGGGCAAGCTCCCAACCAGGGTGCATCGCCAAAATGGCGGGGAATTCTGGTTGAACGACACCGCGAGCGAGTTGAAGACGTAGACCACCATCTCGCCGACGCACCGCAAGGAACAGGCGGCAGGACCAACGGTCGTTCCGTCTCAAGGTGGCGGTCGAGTCACACACGCTGCCAAGCGTCGACCAACCCACGTGCAGGCGCTCACCAGACCAGAGTCCAGATCGCCAGACACCGCCAGGGACTGGTGTCGAGACCGCGCGCCACAACGCGGGGGGCGCGGGCGGACGCTCGCGCACCGGGGTAGAACCGATCCAGGCGACCGAAGGCACCGGAGCGCGCCATGGAGGCGTTCAGCCGCGAGCGCGTTGGACCACGCTTGGGAACCGCCGGGGAGAAACCCGCGCGGTGGGGAGAGGCGGGGAGGTCAGCCGACCCCAGGTAGGTGGGGGACTGCATTAGGCCGGGGCCGCAGGGCGGAGAGGCCGAGGCGGAGGGGCAGCAGAGGGCGGGCGCACAACCGAGAGGGACGGCTCGCGCTGGCCACGCGGCAAAAGGTGGAGCCCAGGCAGCGCCTTTGCGCAGAGCATGGGCCGCTGGGCGGGGCGCCATGGGGAAGCAGCCCACGGCAGTGAAACGCCCCAGACGCATCTGAGACCCCGGGGGGGTGGCCCGGCGCCAGCGGGCGAGGAGCCACAGGCTACCCCAGTGACGAGGGCGCACTGGGAGGCAAGGCGCGCGCCGACAGCCCGAGCTGAGGCACGCGCCTGGCGGCATTGGGCGCGAGGCCAGGGCGGCTCCCGGGGGGGGGGCGGGCGAGAGGCCCAGCAGGCAGGGGGGGAAGGAGCCCGAGGGCGGGGCGATCGGGCGCAGGGGGCTGGCAGGAGCGCCGGCGCCCGCGAGGGGGGGGCGGGAGCCGCGCCCGGGGCGGACGCAGAGGCGACTAACGGTCGCAAGCCTTTGCGAGGCACACAGGGAGCGCGAGGCAGGACAGGGGGGGGCGGCGAGGGCCGCAAGCGGGAGAAAGCGGAGAGGCGACTAACGGTCGCAAGTACGGGCATGGAGTGGTCGAGGCGGCAGAGGCGAGGTGGGCGTCGCGACTAACGGTCGCATGCATTGGGTTGACGGCGCGGGCGGGGCAGGGCCCCGCGGGGAGCGCCGAGGGGGTCCGGAGGGGGCCGGCCAGGGAGTGGGCCGCGCACCCCGTGACCGCGCACCCAGTGAGGGTGCCAGAGCGGCAGCGCTGCGGCTCCCAGTCGCGAGCAGGAGCGAGGCGAGAGAGGCGGACATCCGAGCCCGGGCGCACAGGAAGGAGAGCGGGAGCGGGGGCTGCGGCTGTGCGCCCTGGCCTCCAGGGTGCCCGCGGGATGTGGCAGCTAGGGCGCA